CAATCCTTGTTTGACACGTGTCATTCTAGAGAAATGGGAAAAAAGGCGGCCTTCATGGCCTAAATCCCGAGAAATCCGCAATGCGGCGCAACCCACCAATGATTAGGCTTGATGACCTAATCAAGGGCACAATTCCCAAGGACCCTATAAATAGGGAGATTTCCTCTATTTGGAGACACGTTTTACCATTTGTTACACATTTTACTCTTTGAAAGAGATATCTTGAGCTTAGAATCCGAGCAGATAGCCACCTAAATTTCCGCATCTTTTTACTCCTATTCAAGTTACTAACTTGATCGTCGGAGGCGGAGCTCCAACTACCCGGAGTCTCCGTTTGGTTTGCAGATAAAGCTCACGCCGGACCAGACTTTGTGACGTAACTCTCCCGAGGGACAAAAACACCCAAAACAAAAGGGATCACACTTGTTCCACAAAATCTTTTGCGTAGTATATTCTGCATTGCTGACTATTTCAAGCCTCTTTTTGCATAGTGAAAGTGGCCGCTCTAAGGATTCAAGGATATCGGTAGCGTTGTTGGTCACTTGCCTCTTAGTGTTGATCTCGAGCTTGCTATAGTTGATGCCGTAGTTCCCCTTGTTCAATAATGAAAAGACGAAATACAAAGGTTATTCAGCACATAGAAGACAAACAATTAAAAGGAAAAGGAAAGAAATCAAAGACCTTCGGTCCCAACCAAATCCCTTACCCCCTTGGTATTTTTGGTTGAGGTAGACGACAGCGAGCATCTTCTCCTAGAAGATGTAGTGGTAGCAGGGCAGCCAGGTGTCAAGCACTTGAGCAGTTTGTCCTATCGCTTGAGGATTCATTTGTTTGCCGAAGAAAGTCAGCAGCTTCTTCTCAATGTCACTACATGTGTCATGTCCAATGTTCAGCATATGGGGCTCAGGCTTGCTGAAATACCTTGGCCCTCCAAAGAAGTTCGGATGTCTCTCCTCATAGGGTGCCCGAACCTTGATTAATTGACCCCACCATTCTTTGTCAGAAGTGTCATTCGACCAAGAGATGATATGCCTTCTGATGATCTCGATTTTCCACCAACCAGGACAATTCTCCTTGTTTGATTGTGGGTTGGCATCTGTAGACATCTACTCTTGGCCTCTTGTCTCGATAGGAAGTGCAATGACGATAAATAAAACCATCTTTGTGTTGGATCGAAGTAAAGAATGCTTATGGATAATTGGTTAAATCACAAAACACAAAAGACTATCCCAAACAAAGAAACAAAGCCAAATAAAGTCAAATTAACTAAATCCGATCATAATTAGGCTTAAGCCCGTGCTTAAAACCCAATAATGACGTATTTAAAAGCGCCTAGGTTAAATTAAGCGCTGCCGCAGAAAATAATGCGCGCATCTCAAGGAGTTGCGCTGGGCTGGCGCGCGTAACTAATTCAATTACGCGTGACACTCAGCGCCACTGCCTTCCAAAGCATACGTTTTGAACGTTTTTTGTAAATGTGTCTTCAAACGTTCCGTGGTGGTGCTTTACGTAAAATCTCCCATAGACAGGTTTATCATTTTACTGTATTGACGTTATAAATGTCCAGCTTTTCTTCTTTTTTCATGTCCAAAGCAAAAAGGAAGGGGTTATTATGAAGTGTAAAAATGTAAGGCGTATCGTACAGCGTAAAATTATACGGTGTAGGTGTTGCGTAAAATTTCTCAGCTTTAGCTTTGCGAGATCTACCTCTCGGAACTAAAAGGTAGAGGATTACTTTAGGTGTTAGCTCACGAGTTGACAGGCAGGCCGAACCATTGGGAATAGACACTTCTAGATTGGAAGCAAGTACGGTAGTTAGTGAGCTTACTAGCTTACCGGACAGTTAGGGTGTCCGTCCACCCCCGATATAAAAAGCGACGAGACGATGTCGCACCTATGTAGTCACGTGCCCCCATTCCTGAGACACGTGTACTCATCTTGTGGACAAAAATGGTGAGAGAGTTGCTGACTTTCTTCCCTCTCACTAGATTTGGATATGTGCCTCCAGTCCTAAGACATGTATTTCTATCATGTGGATATCCGGTTCGAATACCAAAACATTTAGGCTCGAATGCTGAAACATTTAGGCTCGAAAGCCGAAACATTTAGGCTCGAATGCCGAAAAAGTCTAGGCTCAAATGCCGAAAACACCTTTTTCATCTTTTTACTTTGTTAAAGCCAGGCTAAAGTTTCAATGACATATTGAGTGACTTTAGGCCAACGATGACATGATTGAGAGGAAATCACCCCCCCTTTACTCTTTTTTAAACAGATCTCTTCTCGTGATTTGATATCACCCAGAACACCTTTACTTGTAAAAGCGTTCTACAAAAGCAAAGGATCAATCTAGATTATTTAGCGAGTTAAGACTAGAAATAAATTTTTTTAGCCTTAATAGCTACTTGTTTCATACACTTGGCGAATCGAGGATCATTTTTTTACATCCTTAACAACTTTGAAAGATTCTCTACTCTTTCAGAACTTCGCAGAATGAATCTCGGAATTATTTCCATGACTACTTTGATCCTCGTCTATTCTAGACTCGATCAAATTGGGGGCTAACTGTAGACTTCTACTTTTGGCCTCCTGTCCCGATAGGAAGTGCAATGACGATAAATAAAACCATCTTGGTGTTGGATCGAAGTGAAGAATGCTTATAGATAATTGGTTTAATCATAAAACACTAAAGACTAGCCCAAACCAAGAAACAAAGCCAAATAAAGTCCAATTAACTAAATCCGATCGTAATTAGGCTTATGCGCGTGCTTAAAACCCAATAATGACGGATTTAGGAGCGCCTAGGTTAAAATAAGCGATGCCGCAAAAAATAACGCGCGCATCTCTAGGAGTCGTGCTCGGCTGGCGGGCGCAACTAATTCAGTTGCGGGTGACACTCAGCGCAACAGCTGGAGTTGCGCTCGTGAAAGATTCAAAATTTCAAAAAATTAGAAAATCGAATCTTGCCATAAAGTCGCGCGCAAGACAATCACTTGCGCTGGGTGGCCGCGTGCAACTCATCCAGTTGTGCGCAACACCTACTGCGGCAGAATGTTCAAAACCCTTAACCTATCCATTCCTTATAAATAGCGGCTTAATTCGAGGCTTAAACAGACAGAAATTAACCCAAAACTCTGGCGAAAAACTTGTGAACTTGTGCTACCTAACCCCTCTTGTCATAAACACTCACCCCTTTGATATTTTGTTACTACGGTAGAGGTTCCCGAACAAGGAGTCCATAAGTAATATAAACGGAGATCTAGCAAAGAGAAGTGGTAAATTCCCAAGCACTTAGATAAATCATTTTTATTTTTCTTGTTTAAAAGAACTTTAATTAATTAATTAGTATTGCTTGATCACTTTAAAAGGTTTAATTAATCAATTCCACATAGTTTCTTGCGTTTAATAAGATTAGAATTGAATAATTAATTATTTGTTGATCATCTAAGCCAAGGAAAATATTATTTATTTCTTGTTCTATTCATGAATTTGATTAAATAAAGAATAACGACTTTGCAATGTAATTCCTACGTGAATTAATGTGTGTAAATAAATCAACTAACTTAGTTTTAGGTATCGCGTTGCATATAATGTTTGCTGATGAAATTGTAAAAAAGGAAGAACTTGTAGAGGCCGTACTAGGGCTAGGATAGCGATTTGCCCTAAAGGGAACGTTAATTTAGTACCCTCGCTCCCAAACTCTATTCTGGTTTATGTAGACCAATTTGAGAATGGGTAAACTTAGGATTCGTGCTAATTATTCCATGAACTCCACATGGAAGAAAGGTATGAATGAGTTTTATGAGCTTTCATAAAACTCATTGGCGACTCCTACTTGTTTCTTATAAAAAAGCGTAATGGTAAAATCAATTTTAATTCAAGCTCCCCCAAACAATCATGAATTCAAATCCTACTACACCTTAACAAGTGTAAAATCCTAGGCTTTTAAGTGGCCATGAGCATCTAAGGAAGGACCCCCTTACGATGGGATCACTCTCCTTATAGTGGCGACTCCACTGAGAACTTAGAGGTTACATGATTAGTTATTAGTTATGGCCCAAGGTTTCCAACACTAGGTTGCCTATGGGTTGTAACGGGAATTAACTTGGATAATATCTAGTTAAAGTGTGAGACTTGTATGTATAATATTTTCCTTTTGCACAAAAGTAAAAACCAAACAATCAACATTGCATCATGCATAATCATAGCACACTTCAACCTTTGGGGATTGGCTCATTGATTAGGGGTAGCCAACACTAGGCTTCTATCCTGAAATCAATAACAATCATCCCACCCATATCGCCGGCAAAATGTTGGGAGAGCGATGTCATGAGTCAACACGTTGAGTGATTAATTAGTGCGTCGTTTCTTAAGATATGGTACCTTTGGACACCCAAGCCTTTTGACCTTGGAATGGCATTACGTGAATCTTGGCTTATGACATGCTTTATGTGATTATGTGCAACGTGTTAGAATAATCTTCCTTATTCTCTTTTTTTTTTTTTAGTTTGGTCTAGGTCACCAATTACAAAGTTGTCCCTTTGTAATTTTGAGTCGTATTCAAAGGGTAACATAAAAAAACGATGACAAAAAAAAAAAGAGCTCGAATTGAAAAAAAGTCCTTACAAGCATGTGGCGCGCACTACTACAAAAATGGCCAAAGAGACCCGTCCAAAAAGGCCAAAGAGATTGCTTTAGAGGCGGTTTCTAGCTAAGCGGTCTCTTTGGCAAAGAGACTGCTTTGATAGAAGCGGTCTTTGGAATAAAAAAAACTAAGACCGCTTATTGCTGAAAGGCGATCTCTAGAATGAGAAAACTAAGACCGATTATTGATGTTAGGCGGTCTCTTTTTTGGAAAAAGAGAGACTGCCTATTGAACTTAGGCAGTCTTTGTTTTTTGGAAAAGAGAGACCGCTTATCCAACTTCACAGGTCTCTTGGTGTCATTTAAAAATAAAAAAAATAATATTTGATTTTTAAAACGTAAATTAAAATTACATGTCATCAAAATAACTACTCCGTAATGGATTCTTATACATGTAAAATTACCATCTTAAATATTTTATACGAAGTACATGATATAGAGTACAAAATTATACGAAACCCATAATTATTAAAAAAAAAAACCCTTAATCTTCTTCATCGTGAACTTCAACTAATCAATCGTATAGATCTTTGTCTTTAGCTTCAAATATGAATTGATACATATGATTATAGCTGCAATTAACGTATAATAATTAGCTTAACTAAAAAAAAATTTACATAACATCAAAAAATCAAAATCTAGACTTTTATAAGAAAATTAAACAACCCAGAATTTAAATGACGGAATACCCTAAATAAACTCCTTTATCCTGATTGAATTGATGATTATCATTAACAAATTTGAAAAAAATGAAAGAAAAAGCATAACTAAAAAGAATTTTTTTACAAAAAATCGCTGAAATCAATACTCTTTAAGTATGAGATAAATGAAATAAATTGTGAATTAAGATCTAAATTTCACTTTCAATATATCCATTAGGTAGTTTGCTCAAAATGAACTGAGTTTGCTCAAAAAATTAATCTACAAAATTTACAACTAATCCACCAAATAAATTACAGAAACAAAATTCAGAAAAATTACCCACAACTATCAAATCGAATATCAACGCATTCAGAAAATAATCATGGAGATAGAAAAGAGGAATAGGCAGGAAGAGAGAAAGAGAGAGACAAACCTTTGAAGCAGGGGAATGATAAGTTGATTGCCAACGCTGCCACCGTGAAAAAAATGATGATGAGGGATGTATGCGACAGAGTTTTTGGTGGTAACGGGGTGAAGATGAGGATATAGAATGGGTGAAGGAGTGTGAGTATGATAGTAATGGAAGTTCAAATATGAGAGTTGGTTGCGGATCGGAAGGCCAGGAGAGGAACAAGAAGGTAGGAAGTTGGAAGAAAGCTAGGGTTTTCAAGGAGGAGAGAGATATACAAAAAGTTATCTATAAAGAAGTGAGTTATTGGGCCGTTGGGGTAAAGTGGGTTAAAGAGAAAATGACAAAAGAAAAAAGCAATGTAGCGTGACAAGCTGAAAAAAGCAAGAGACCGCCTAACTTCAATAGGCGGTCTAAGGTGTTAGGTCCAGAGATTGCTTTTTTAAGAACACATGTCTCTAATTTATTATAAAAAATATAAAAATTAAGAGAGACCGGTTATCTTGATAAAGGGTCTTTATTAAGTTTCAAGAGACCGGTTATTTGTAATATTGGTCTCTTGAAACAAAGAGACCAGTTATTGAAATAAACGGTCTCTTATATTGGGTCTCTTTGGCCATTTTTGTAGTAGTGGCGCGCAACTCAATGAGTTGCGACCCCTACCAGCGAAAGTGATTTGGATGCGCGCGCTAGCCGTGCGCAGTAAAATCACTTATGCGCGCCCACTATTACGAGTCAATTTGATTTCTCAAAAAACTAATTGACTCGTTCAAACAATATATTGCGTCATTTCCTTTTTTTATTTCTTCTAAACAAAAGTATCGATTTACTTATCCTTTCGTACTTTCTATAGGGCCGGTTTTAAAGCTTGGGAACGAAGACTCTCGGCCACTCATATTCTACGTTTACCATTAAACAATCCACCCCTTTCAAACCACCTTCCCTCGAAAACTAGTCCTAGTCCAAAAACAATGTCAACCATCGAGCAACTCCAAGAAGAGATTGCTCGCTTGAGAGAAGAAAAGGCTCAAGAGGCCGAAGAAAGAAGAATTAAGAAACTTGAAAAGGCTGAAAAGAAAAATGCCGAGATTCTAGCCTTGGAACAAAATATAGAATAATTATCCGTCAAAGAAAAGTCGTTGGAGAAGGTTGTTCTTCGTTCCACCATGGGGAACAAGTACTTCGACGCTGAAAAGTTTACTCCTCCCCCGGGACTTGGTTCACCGGAAAAGTTTGTAGCTATGGACTTGCCAACATTTAAGGTGACCAATAATCCACAAAACCACTTAATGTGTTTTACTGGCACCATGGCATTAAAGGGAGTTGATCCTAAGCTTTATGCTTTGACTTTCCCTTTATCTCTAGACCCAACCGCGAGAGAATGGTAATATGGGTTAGATCAAAAATTCATAACAACATGGGAAGATGTAGTTTCGGCTTTTATTACCCATTATGGGAGTAAAGTAGAGTTGAAATCGACTCTACGTGAACTTGAAATGCTTAATCAAGGCGACGATGAAGTTTCCTTGCTTTCTATGGTAGATGGCGAAAAAAGGCGGCTCACCTTGCCCAAAGGCCACATGAACTCGAGTTAGTACAAAAGTTCATTGACAATTGTCATGAAAAGTACAACAAGCATCTACGTTACCTTGGTTTAGACACTTTTCAAAAGTCTATTCTGTGGCTACTAGGGTTGAAGATGATCTTGCTAAAGAAAAAGCAAACAAACCTTATCACCATCAACCTAGGAATAACTACAAAAAGGGGAATGATAATACTTCATCCTCTATCAATGTATTTGCAACTTCCACGCTCTTTTGGGTGTTTTTGTCCCTCGGGAGAGTTACAACACGAAGACTAATCCGGAGTGAGCTGTACCTGCAACACAAACGGAGACACCGGTTAGGTGGTGCTCCGCCTCCGACGCACAAGTTAGAAACTTGAAGGGAGAAAAAGGTGCGGAAATTTAGGTGGGGTTCTGCTCGGATTCCAAGCTCAGGATGTCTCTGTCAAAGAGAAAAAATGTGTAATAAATGATCAAAAACGTGCCCTCAAAAAGAGGGACATCTCCCTATTTATAGGGTCTTAGGGATTTGTGCCCCTGTTTAGGTAACTGAACCCTAATCATTAGTGGGCTGCGCCGCTTTACGGCTTTCTCGGGATTTGGGCCTGAAGGCCGGCTTTTTCCCTTAATTTCTGGAGTGACACGTGTCAAGCAGGGATTTGTCCAATTTGGGCCCTTCTGAGGCTGACACGTGTCATCCTCTCATTGGACCACGTGGCGGGGTAAAATTACCCTAAATATTTGCCCCTCACAAATGTGACGTGGCACGCCGCGTGGCATCTATGACACGTGTCACGCTCCGATTGGCGGTAATTTTACCATTGAAGAGTAACCGTTCATCTTCCGAGTAAATTACGGAAATGCCCCCGTATTTACCCTCTAAATATAGTCGTTTTACCCTCATAATTTTGTACGTTTTAAAAAAAAATTCTAGAGAAAGAACTTTGAGAGAGCAGAAGTCATCCTTTTGAGTCAGGCGCAAGCAAGAGAGCTCGTTTTCCACCGACCTAGCCAGACCCGCCTAGTTTCAGATATCTCTTCAAAAGGTACCATCATTTCCTCTCTCAGCTCTTCTTCTTTTTTCACCACTTGTACATATTTCTTGCAATGAATGCATCATCACCAACACACACGGCACGACGTAGGTTAGAGTCCCGCCGGTCACCAGGGACGGCTGAGTCTAGGACTGGGAGTGCCGTCTCAGGGTGTTGGGACCACCCTTTGCCTTGGATTCCGACCAGTTATGTGTCTGTGCAGGACACAATGGATCGGACAATGCAGACGGCGACTGATCCAAATTACAAGAGCGAAAGCTCAGGCGGCCAAACGCTTGAGGGAGAAACGTCTAGTCAGGGAGACCAGACGGCTCTGGAGAGATCCCCTCCGCGTGCCCCTTCTACCCCCGCTGACTCTTTTTTAGAAGAGTGCGACCAAGGCGGCGACGAGGCCATCTCTGCCCCCTGACCCAAAATGAGGAAGAGACGGAGAGCGACATCTCCGCCTCAACCTCTGAGAGCAGTGATGATTTACCCCCGCTTCAGGATAGCGAGGAGGAGAAAAGGAAAAAATGGAACGAGAAGGATGATCCATTCAATATCCACGTCTCCTCCAAGGACCGGATCCAAATGGAAGAAAACTTAAAGAATTTTACTCAAATGCACCCGTTAGGAGACGGGTATAGGATCCGGGTGCCGCCTGAGAATGGCACCATCGCTTGGGAGGACGATCAAGAGAACGCAAACAGCTATTTCGGCTGTTATGAGGCGGCGTTCAAAGCTGGCCTTCACTTCCCCCTTCACCAGGCGATGAAGGCAATTTTAAGAGGCTACGGCCTCGGAGTCTAGCAACTTACCCCCAACACCTAGACAAACATTCTGGGGTATGTTGCCGCTTGCGAGTTCCAGGGGCTTAACCCCGGCTGGGAGGCTTTTGCTAGCATGCATTATCTTAGCAGAGCCCAGGCGGCTAGAGGGCGTGGTATACTCTAACCACGCATCCCCAATACATGATGACCTTGGACAAGGTCTTAAAATTTGACGGCTGGAAACACAGATTCTACCTGATGTCAGCTCCAACCAGACGGGAGAATTATGAACACTTTCTGTACAATAAGAAGCCCGACTTGATGGGCAAGAAGTGCGCTCTTCCCCGGATCCCAGAGGAAGATTTTGACAAAATCATCGAGGCAGACTTTTTTGGCCTCACAGACGCGACCTTGTCAACCAGGCAAAGAATAAAAGTCCCCAAGAACTGGATCCCCAAGAGCGCCTGGTTCAGGGACGAGTGCTTACCAAACGTATGCGCCTGAGTTTATATCCGTCTATAGTATCTTTTTATCAGAATTGATTTATGATAATGATCAATTTTTCTTTTTGCAGAAGAAGCATTAAATATGTTGTAGACGGAGAAGACTCCCAAGCGGTCCTCTGTACTCATCCGTAAGCAACTTGCGGAAAAAGATGCTGCTAAGGTCAAGGCCAAGGTAATAAACGCCTTACCCTTTCGTAAATAAATCTTAAAAATTATTTCTCCTGGATGCTAACTTTGACTTGGTTATTTTCGCAGGGAGGAGAGGTTGGAAAAACGTTAGAGAAACAACTCAAACGGGCTAGGAAAGAGACCCTCGCCGTTCCCAACAAAATTAAAAAATCCACCTCCGCTTCAACTCGTGGCGCCTCAGCCGGGTATCAGCAGATGCGGATAGCGGGGCGAAACGAGATGGTAGGCGGCAGCCTGTGCCTTGATCTCGTCAATCCCTTATCAGCAGCCGCGGGGTTCACCATGCCTGCAAACGGTTCCCGCTTGGCTGGCTATGAAGGTAAGAAGCCTTTTGAATCCCCGCTTGAGCTGGGGTGGCCTTTGCGGGTGAAATCCCACTCTCAACAGACGTCATCTTTAGACAGTCGGCAACAAATAGGTGCTGCCTTAGTTTCGCACTCATCATGTATTGATTGTGGTGCAGATCAATCTCCCCGCTGGCCAGATGTCCAGAAGCATGCCCAGGCCATGCTTGACGCCGTCCGGAAGAGGGATAAAGACAACATCCCTGGGATAGAGACGTTCAATTTGGAACGCATTCTATCCCTTCTGGCTGAGGTAAAAAACTTGTCAATTCAATTTATTTTTTTTCCAACGTTTCATCCCGCCTGCAATACTTATACCGCCTGCTTTTTTGTAGGTCATGCTGCGGGTGGACGGGCTCAAACGTCCTTATTCCCGCAAACGGGAAGAGGTAGAAAGGGCCAAGAAGTCCGCCTTAGACGCTAACAATATTGCTTTACACTCGACTATCGTAAATGAACTTGAAAGTAAAGCAATCATTATGACACAGGCGTCTAGAATCCAGCAGCTGGAGGCGGATCTGGAGATGGCCAAATAGCGGGCGGGTGATGCTGATACGGCCCAGAAGAAGGCAGAGGAGGGCCGGAAGAAGGCGGATGAGAGCGCCAAAAAGGCTGATGAGGCGCTCAAGAAGGCCCAGACGAACCTTGGCAAACTTCAGGGTGTTTCCGAAGAGAACACCAACCTGAAGACCAAGGTTGAGAAGCTAGAGAAGGAGGCTGCTTAGGCTCAGAAGAACTTTGCAGCAACCCTGGAGGCGGAGCAAAACCGTCTAGTTTCTGAAAGTGACGCTGACAATGATGCCCGAATGAAGATCGCCTGGGCTGCCCTGTACCCAGACGCGGATTACAGCATCTGGGCACTGGCTCACAGGTATGCCGAGGACGTGGTGTACTTGAGAGAGAAGGGTGATCCAGAGCCTGAGTCCTTCAACGCCTGGGTTGACGCCAACAATGAGCCCCCGCGCCTCAGCTACCTGGTCCGGGTGAAGCACAGG